GTCATCGGCGATTTAATGGTGGCAGTCTGGTTTGGTACGCAATCCGACGATTCGTTCCCCGAATCAATAAACTCAGATGCGCCGTACGTTAGTTACACTCGATCAAAAGTGTACCAATCGCCGAAGTTATGGTATCTCCGAGCATCTATCATCGAGGCGCAGGACCTGCACATTCCGGCAATGCCGCCAGGGGCTCCCGTGGATATACGTGTTAAAATTCAGTTAGGGTTTCAGTCGTCGAGGACGAGGAGAGCGGCGGTGACCAGCAGCAACTCGACGTTTTAATCATCGTTTGAGGATTTTGATGTTCTTGCGTCTTCCGAACCGTTTCTCGAGACGATTGAGGCTGATTCTTTTGGTCGAGGACCGGATTCGAATGAGGAACGCAACCTGCCGGTTTCTGCGTGCTGGTGCCGGTCAACGCCGTTTATGTACCAGCGCGCTTGGATGAGAGAGGCAGATGTAACTTCAAAATGGTGTCATTAGAACGGCGGCCCGGAGGCGGTGGTTTGGGGGCCCCCCTAGTTATCGGTAGTTAGTTTAGGGTCTGAGGTTGATGTTGGAGGTCTGGGTATCCGCCTGGTTTGCTGACGAGGGGCGGCGCATGTGTTTGTTTGCAGCGATTTCCAGTGCGCAGCGCGAAAACTATGGAACACCCCCAGTTCGGAAGTTCTCGAAGCTCGGTATTAGCGGGTGGTGTGGGGGCTTTTGCCGATTGAAGACTAAAGGTGGGCAAGGGGTCGCACAGAGCGTACCGTGCGTGGCAAGTACGGCAAGAAGTGTTCGGACGAGGACGATCATCTGACAACTTTGTGATCCGAAGTGGGAGAAACGAGCGGAGCGTTCACGTTGGCATGTTGTTACGATCCGTGCCGTGCTGACCATCGGGTGTTTGACAATGGCGCATCGTTCGCCCGACATAGGCTGCGGAAGAAAGACCGTGCTCAGATTATCGGATAGGAAAAGTCCCGGATCCGGGTTCTCTCGTCTCGCGCCAGGGCCATCGGGTCTATACGAAATGTACCCCTTTGGTTCTTCTCGCCGGACTGGCGGTCAGAGATGGAGATGATCCAGGTTTTGGCGGTTAAGATTGTCTATCAGTTGTGCCCGGCATTTTACGACACGTGTTGTCGCGATATATTTCTCTCAGCCGATTGCTGGCCCGATGGATTGCATTACCTCCGGCCGATAGGTGTCGCTCAGCAGGAGATTCTGCGTTGCGCTGCGATCAAAATGGTGGCCGGATGGCTGGCACGGTCAGAGCCACCGCTGGGGCCGGAGGTAGTCCGATACATGCTCGATGCAGACTCACACACGTGGAGCATGCGTCGGAGCAAAGCGAATTGGTTCCGAATCATGGGTGTGCTAGCTTGGGCGGTCGGCCTTGCCCGCTGGCTCGGTGATATCCGTCGGTGGCGGAATCCGGTCACGACAGTCTTAGTCCATGTATTGTACCTAGTCTTGGTTTGGTACCCGGAGCTTGTGGTGCCCACGGCATCATTGTATGTCTTCTTGATCGGCGCGTGGTACTACCGGTTCCGGCCAAGGGCACCGTCGGGGATGGACATGAGACTGTCACAGGCCGACACGGTGGACCCAGATGAGCTCGACGAGGAGTTTGACTCTCTCCCGAGCATGAAGCCTCACGAGGTTATAAGGGCGAGGTACGACCGGCTGAGGATACTCGCGGGAAGAGTGCAGACAGTGATGGGGGATTTCGCGGCGCAGGGGGAGAGGGTGCAGGCGTTGGTGAGCTGGAGGGATCCGAGGGCGACGAGGCTCTTCATCGGGGTTTGCTTGCTCCTCTCGGCTTTTATTTTCTCCGGCACCCGATGTTCAGAGATCCGATGCCGTCGGCGAATCTGAACTTTTTCAGGAGGCTGCCGAGTTTGTCAGATAGATTGCTGTAGAGATTTGAGTTTGGGTTTATGATTCGGAGTATATATAGGACTGAATTAGTAATAAGATTTTATAGAAATTGGAGAAATGAGATAAATTCATTCGAATAAATGGAAGATGGTTAATGGAAATTGTATCATTATAAATGAAGTCTAAATTCTTGTTTTGCTTTTGAAATTTCTTTATGATGATAGCACAACTCTGTAGATTGCGCATAGGTAAAAATTAATCATCTTTTACCTTTGAATTTATTCTTCAGTAGTAGGCAAATTTCCATTAAGCAGATGTAGCAATGAGATAAATTGATGACCCCCACAGTATTTTGTCCAATTCACGCTACAATCTGAAAGAATCACTTCAAAATTTACAAGCCTGAAAATAATAAAACTTATGAGTTGATTCTGGAGCATAAACTGCACAACTTGAATGCAAGGGGATATTATGCTCCATTTCGAGATTTCAAAATACTAAAATATCTCTATGAGATAAATACTGCAAAGACGATCCAGATGAATCTACCATAAATTTACCACCAAATGTGGTTAACAAGCTAGAACATTAATTTCATACGAACCCCCACCAAAAAAAAAGGAAAAGGAAAAAAAAGATAACAATAATAAACCCACCAGAGAGAAGCATTTGGTTTATAATCTTCTAAACACTAATATCATCTTGAACAAACTGCACGCAGCTTCATAATCCTGGCCAACAACCAAAAGATGTTACTAGTCTTTTCAGTTGGTGGTTCTGTTATGCAATCAACAACTGCTTATGACTTACGGAGATTGTTAAATTTACCAAATAGATACTTTTAGTAAGGGCTTGTTTGGATGTTCGTAACTATTAGAAGTAAGAAGTGGATCAAAAATGTAACTTCCTTAATTATGAAGTAGAAACTAGCGGAAGTAGTACTTATTTTGTTTGTTTCATATATTTTTAAAAATAACGAAAATAGTATTTCACCATCTTCTTTTATTTGTTTGTTTGTTTGGATAGAAATTGGATATATTATTTAAGATCATCTATCCTTGGTAAATCTCTAATTTAAGTGAACCTCATTTTTGATCCATTTCTCCTCTACTTCTGAGCTTTCAAGGGCGGAAAAAAAATCTAGGAAGTAGGAGTGTCACCTAAACATCACATCTGTAATTATGGAAGTAGCTGAAGTAGTCTTTTCGGAGAAACAAACATAATTTGTTGCTTGCAATAGGAGAAACTTGCTCTATTTCAGTTACTTCTTTGCTACTTCCGTGCAAACAAACAGGCCAAGACAAACTTTTCCACATGATATTTTTGTTTTGTCCAATAACATTAATGCACCAATAATGAATTCATGCTTGCAATAAGGCATGAATTTTCGCCACTGGATAAGAATATGACGCGTCAGGTGACCATCACGTTTTAATATTTCTGATATTATGGGAACAATTTTAACCCATTGCGATAATGAATAGGGATAAAGTGAGATAATTTGGATAGTGTGGTAATTTAGAAGTAGTAATTGTAGTATAATTTGTTGTGCGCAGCGGAAATTTCGGCAGAGTTTCTGGTGCACAATAAGAGAGAAAGATCGATAAGAATTCTTGTTTCTCAAAGGGAACAAGAATCTGAAAGCCTAATATCCCATCAAAGTGGGATATTTGCTCTTCCTCTCGTCAGCTCTAGGACTGTGCGTCGAGGGATCCTAAAACTATTACAATGGCCACAAACTCAAACAATCAATTTTTACGTGGTTCGGCAAACTGCCTACGTCCACGGGGCAAGGAGGGGGAGATCTACTATTAGAGGGGAGAGAATACAACTAGGGTTTACAATCACACAATCTAAACCCTCAAACAAATACTCTCAAAACCTCTCACACAATTATCTCTCTCAAAACAAAAGACAGTCGCCTCTGTACTTTGCTACAACCCAAAAAAAAAGGAATCTGCGTTTTCCTTTTGCTGCTCCTGCGCACCTCTGCCTTGAGCCTGCTGCAGCCGCCAACTGCTTTTGATTTTGCCTCCTCACAGATGAAAACCTAGGGACTCATTGTTATTTATATAGCCTGCAGTCATTAAAGAAGTCGGGTGGGCCTTGTTCCTCTTCACGCGAAAACAAATTCCCAATCATTGGAATTTGCCCAGCTCTTGCCCAGCTCATGAAAAACCGTGTCTTTAGCTGCTAAACATTGTGGCCCGCTGGACTTCTCTTCAAGGCTTCTTTTCACGTGTCCTTGCTGACTTCGTGGCCTCACAATTCTCCACCTCGGCGAAGTTTTCCCAAAACTGAGCCGACATCAACCAAACCAAATGTCTCACTTGTTGTGTCCAGTACACCGTGAACCAATTCATGACAACAGACTCAATCCATAACAAGTCAAGAACCCAAAATGAGAATGCAAACACTCTCCAAATGTCAGTATCAACTCACCAAATCGATCTCACCCCCGTCAAAATCCAAACCCGGCTGCATCATAAGACTGCCTACGTATCCTCTTGCCCAAGGAATCAAGCAGAACGTAGTTCACCCAAATGGCCGCGAACGACCTCAAACCAATAGAAGAGTTCGCAACCCTTCTCCAATATCATCAACTCTGCGGCTGATAGCACCTCCAATGGCCTCAAACACCTTCACCTGAGGTGAACCAATGACCATATCCAAGCTACATCTATCAGCTGCACTCGAGTCAAAACCCAACTCATCATCTGCATCCGAATCCAAATGACTTCCACGCTGTGTCACCTCAGCTGGAATCCCAACCAATGCAGAATGACCTGGAGTATGTGGGAAAATCCCCACCCAATGTGAAGTAGCATCAATCTCCACCCGCTGTGATACCTCTAAGGTCTGTCCAAACCTCTTCACCTGCTGAGAGTCAATCGGCTCCCTCATCGAAGCCTCATACAAAGTGACACTACCAGACCTATCTTCTAATAGAGTTTTACCTCCAATCACAGCAGTTGACAACTCTTTAATAGGATGACCCAAATATGTCGAAGCCTCTGTCCAGAAACTCTTCTGCAAACCATTGCTCGACCACAAACACCGATCCTCCTCCAAAAAGGCACGGTTCTCCAAATTTATCACCTTATCTAGTTGCCCCAAGATTTCCTTCCCAACGAAGTGTCTCGCAATGCCGTGAGCTCGGCTCCAATACAGAAATAGGTCCATCTTGTACCTCCCACCAAAACCAGAATGGAGTACCTTCACCTTTCTGTCTATCACACACTTCTTCAAACTGTTAGAGACTACTAGGACTTTATCCATCGGGGATTTGGTTGCAACCCAAACACGCCTAGAACAGTCACCAACAAAGGAAACCAAACGCCTATTACCTCCCAATGATGCCCCCTTGGAAGGCCCCCAAACATCAACGTGAACTCCTTTAGAACGACCATTAGCACGGTGAATAGAGGTGCCACACTTCACCTCGGTCTTCTTGCTCACATCAATATGTTCACTGGACTTCAAACTGCAGGTCTTTGCACCCTCTTTCAATCTATGCGAGGAATCAATACTGGAATGGCCAAGCCCCAAATGCCGCAGTCTAGTCGAATCAACAGAAGTCGCCAGCTCTCCACCTGTTACTATACCTCCAGTCAAGTAATACAGGTTATTTCTCCTGACGCCCTTCATCAAAATACGAGAGTCTCTCGCAATCTCGAGAACCATGTCCTCAACACGAACCTTCAGACCCTCTCCAACCAAAGCTCCAATCGAGATCAAGTTCTTCCTCAAAGAAGGAACATATCTCACATCGTTTAACTCTCTAACAGTCCCGTCAAACATCTTTATGCGAATTCTTCCTATCCCAAGGATCTGGCATGCATGGTTATCAGCCATGTACACCACACCACTATCCACCAGCTTCTCAAAACTGGAGAACCATTCTCTTCTAGGACACACATGATAGGTCGCACCACTATCCAACATCCATTCAGATTCCTCCGAATAGCTATCTGTAGGACTGATAGAAAGCGAATAAATAGAAGAGTCAGAATTATTACCATCCAATACGATGTTTGTTTCTGATGATGGCTACTTCCCTTTTCCCTTCTGCTTATTCTTCATCCATTCGTCGAGCTTTGGGCAGTCTTTCTTCCAATGACCAGTCTCCTTGCACCAAGCACACTGATCTTTTCCAATTGTAGGATGCCCTACTCTAGACTGTAACTTCCAATTCTTTCGGTTCGGATTCTTCCCTCTTGCGACCAACGCCTCCGCTACCGGCTCAACCGAAGCCTCCTTATCCTTCTTCGAAGCTGATAATTCACAAGTGCAGCGGTGACCTCACTATACGAAAGTGATGCCTTCCCATTAATCAAAGTAAGAACGAAGGTCTCATATTCCTCGTCGGGCAAGGAACTCAACAACAGCAACGCCTTGTCCTCATCTTCAATCTTGACATCCACATTCGCCAAATCCGCAAGAAGCTTTGTGTAGTGGTTCATGTGATCTCTAATGGAGGTTCCCTTCTTCAACTGGAAACGATAAAGTCTCCTCTTCAAATGCAAGCGATTTTCCACACTCTTGGTCAAATACTTGCTTTCGAGAATCTCCCAAATCTTCTTCGCAGAAGTCTCATTCATCACATCATATTTTAGATCTTGAGTCAAACAAGACCTAATCACACCACACGCCGTTCGATTCATCTTTTTCCAAACCTTCTCTTCAATCTCATCTGGCTTGCCATCTAACTCCAAGGTATCCTCCAAATTCTGCGCGTTCAGCGCATCCAAAACCTCGCATCTCCATAATCCAAAGTTGTTTGTGCCATTAAATTTCTCCACATCTATCTTCATAGAGTGGATATTCAAACTCTGAATAGTCTTCACGCCAGAAGAACCACCCTCGACTCCCGAAGCACCTTCTTTCCCCGACATCTTACGCACCAACGAACAAAGAATAGATCCAAAACTGAAAGATAGAGTCTTTACCAAAAGATCCCACCTTTATCACCAACGAAGTCCTAAACGGGCCTCCAAATTGATCTACTCCTCCAACCAAACCCTAGATCTGGAATCTGGGCTCTGATACCACTTGTTGTGCGCAGCGGAAATTTCGGCAGAGTTTCTGGTGCACAATAAGAGAGAAAGATCGATAAGAATTCTTGTTTCTCAAAGGGAACAAGAATCTGAAAGCCTAATATCCCATCAAAGTGG